CCCGGAAGCGCTCCCCGCCCCCCGCCCTCACGCCGCCGAGCCCCCCGCCGGCAGCCAATGGGAGGCGTCACCTCCCTCGCCCCGCCCCCGCGGTTCCTCCGCCATGTTGGTTGAGGGCGGCGCCGCCGTAGGGAGCAAAGAGGGATGACGTCGAGGAGGTCGCCATCTTGGTTGAGGGCGCTGGGGGTCAGACGGGGGCACGGCCGCCATCTTGGGGCGGGGAGGGGCGGGGCCACCGCTTCAGCCAATGGGAGCAGCGGAGCCATGGCAACGGCCGCCTGGGGGTGAGGCCGTGGCGGCCATCTTGACTGAGGGCAGCACTCCGTTTCCCCGCGGCGGCGGGGCCGGGCGGGCCCGCGGCGCACGCTAGGACGGCGGCGGGGCCCCGCCGCCATCCCTTCCTCTGCCTTCCCGCCTCGCAATCCAATTATCAACGCTAATTAACCGCGAACCCTTCGCCGGCGTGCCCGCTCCCTGCCCGCCACCGCCTCAGTCCTCCCGCACCATCGAGAGGTGCCGCGCAGAGCGTCCCCCCACACTCCGTTCCCACTTCCGCCGGAAGTGACCGCCCGCTCTCCCATAACCCCCCGCGTGGGGCTCCCGCTTCTCTCTCCCTCCGGCCGCCGCCATGGTGGGTCTGCACCCCGGGGATGGGATGGGGGGGGCACCGATTATCCGTCGCCATCCGCCTCCTAGGGGGGCCGAACTGGCGCCGCCGCCTCCTGGGGATGCTGTAGGGAGCCTGAGGGTGGTGATGGCGGCGGAGATGGGGCGGGGGCGGCAGCGGCAGCGATGGGATCGGCCGCGGTGGATGAGTCTTAGCGGCGGCGCCTGAGGCCTAGCGGCACCCGGAGGTGGGCTGAGGCCTAACGGCGGCCTGACGCCACCCCCCCGCGCTCTCCCTTCAGGGTATCGATATTCGCCATAACCGGGACCGGAAAGTTCGGCGCCGGGAGCCCAAGAGCCAGGACATTTACCTGCGGCTGCTCGTCAAGGTGGGCCCGGGAAGGATTTGGGGGGGGGGCGAGAAACTCCCGC